ATCAAATGAATTGTAATAGTGATATAAAAATATCTTTAGTTGTAAAAATTTAATGAGAACTTTAGTCAGACTATTTATTAGCCGATAAATGAAATGCCTTATAATACCTAAGTATTTAATTCTGATGTAAGAGCTCTTTGAGTAGCTTCACACCATTTATAATTGCTTTATTTAAATGATTGTCTATGCATGAAATACACTCATATTTCAGTATGAACTGGATCAAATGCTGTTTTAAATAAGGAATCTGAAGATTTTATGACACTAGAGATTTTTGTCAGAAAAATTGTTAACTATATGTATTCTTTCTTAAATCATGTCTTGTCCATAAGAGTGTGGTAACATAATTTGTTATTTTGAGGGAAGTGGGGTTTGTGCTATAACAGGTTGTTTTCAGGGCTTACTCCTAGCTCTGTGCTCAGGAATCACTCCTGGGGGATTCAGTGAGCATATATACAGTACTAGAGATCAAAACTGCATCAGCCATGTGCAAGGCAAGTGCCTTCATCCCTGTACTGTCTATAACATAATATTGTGTCTTTAGTTTACATATTTTTAAAACTAAAAGCATCAGCAACCTAAATATTCAAGTGATTGATAATTTTTAATATTCCATAGAATGTGCAGCAAACTGGCAATATAAATATTTTAACTGAATGAGATTTCTAAGTCATTTCTAACATTCTTTAGGAATGCTTCCTCTGTCAAAAATAGCACTAGCATTTATGCATGAAATATGTGCTTTGAAAGCTGGCTAACCATCTCAACACATCAAAATCACATAAGAAAAAATGGCATGTTTTGAAGAATTTTCAGTCCTAGAAGTATAATTTTCAAGCTGATATATAAGATTCAAGTTTCCTTTTCAAATAATTTTATTATAGCCATTTATTTAATAAGCATGCTCACATATGAATTTATATTTTAAAACTTGTCGAATTAGGATGAAAAATAAATGTGTTGGAGGCTGATTAGATGACACTGGGATAAGGAGTGTGGACTTTCTCTTCAATTTCTGGCACTGTAGAGGGTCCTCTGAGCCCTGTCAGGAGTGATCCTTGAGCACAGAGTAGGAGTAAGCCCTGAGCACTGCCACACGTGGCCCTAATACACACACACACACACACACACACACACACAAAATCAATAAAAAAAATGACTGAATTACCTTGTGTTGTCATCTTTGGTGCTCTCATTTTTTTTTCAACCTTTTCAAAGTGAAGTCCTTCAATTTTAGTGACAGTTGGGGATTTGGTGAGTAGTTGACAGCCCAGCGGTCCCACCGGACTCCAATCTCCAGGTGGATAAAGAGTTTCAATAAATGGTGATTGAATAAAACATCTTTCCTGAAACAACTTTCAGAACCCAAAAGCATAATACAGTTCCTCTGTTCAATGAACCCAGGACTAAGACCCGATGTTGGAGATTTGGGTGCTCCTTCTGTGTGTTGGCCATCAGGCTAAATGTTTGAAATGTTTTAAACTCACACACATGCATTATGCAATTGCACACACACACATGCAAACTCTGTTTAAAACACTGAGCATAGTGGCCAGTGCAGAGTGAATGTGCATGTGTGGTGTGTATTTATGATGAACCCATGAGGCAATTAGCATGACACAGACAAGGAATTCAAGGGTCTTCCATGTCAGGATGGATGCTCAGATAATCAGAGCTTGGTTTCAATACACGGATTTCTGTCAAAAAAAAAAATTCTGGACCAGAGAGATATCACTGCAGATAAGGCACTTGCCTTTTGTTCGGCCGACCCAGATTCAGTTCCAGGTACCATATATGGTCCCCCATGCCCTGCTAGCAGTGATCCCTGAGCAGAGCCAGGAGGAAGTCCTGAGCATTGCTGGTGTGGCCAACCAAAGATAGGGGGAAAATTGGGTTCCTGAGGATGCTTTTGAGGTAACGTATTATCAAACAGTAAAGCAAGCAGGGAGCAAGGATGGGGTTCTGTGGTGCAACCAACACCCCACTGTGAATCCCTACAGAGATCTCTGCCTCTGTCGGCTACAGCTTTCAACACATTTGATTCAAGTGATGTATGTGTCCCCTGCTTCCGGCTGGCACAAGCACTTGGTGAAGGAGAGCTCACCTCATCCCCTGCAATGCCCCTTGGGATCTGGCGTGGTGTTTGGACATGCTAGACACATCCTGAATATTGAATACCAACCCTGCTCTGCACAGCAGTTCTCCTGCAGGCTGGAGCGATAGCACAGCGGTAGGGCATTTGCCTTGCACGCAGCCAGCCCGGCCAAGCTGGGTTCGATTCCTCCGCCCCTCTTGGAGAGCCAGCAAGCTACTGAGAGTATCTCGCCTGCATGGCAAAGCAGGCAAGCCACCCATGACGCATTTGATAAGCCAAACACAGTAACAAGTATAACAATGGAGATGTTACTGGGCCCGTGAAGCAAATCGATGAACAAGGGGAGGACAGTGCTACAGTGCTTCTTTTGGGGGGGCTGGGGGGGAGGGTTTCATACCCAGTGATGCTCAGGAGTTCCTTCCGGAGGCTCTAGTTGTGTTTTGCAGGGAGGGGACTGTGGTGCCCCAGCCAAGGGCCATAAGACATGGTCACAGCCCAACAAGCTTTTACGTTTGAAGTCGGGTTGCAATGACCACCTATGCTGGATTCCCTTGAAGAGCTGAGCGAGGTGCTGTGCCAGCCTGGCTGAGTCTAGAAGCCATCAGAGAACTGCCGGGAGTCTTGGAAGAAACCGTGAGCAGAAGGTGAAGGGTGCGGGGGTGGGAGGAGGTCTCTGTCTTGCTTCACCATGACTGGATTCTGTGTCTCCAGTTAGAAGAGAGCAGGACCGGAGGGACATCAGGTTCCTTGGACAGAGTTTTTGATTTTAGGATCCTCTAAGGATTGAGTGTGGCAGATTGGAGAAGTGATGCTGTAGATGAGAGTCTGGAAAGTGTGTGTGTGTGTGTGTGGGGGGGGGGGGGGTTGCTAAGATGTGGTTGGATAGAATTCAGAAGTGATTTTTTTAGATTTAATCAATTAGGCTTGGGGGATACTGTTATGCTGAACAAAGACCAGAGGCGACCTTTCCAGAAAAAAAGGGGATGTACTCCTTGGCTGTCTGAGGTGATCCCCAAATTGTAAATCAAAGTCTGCCAGTTTTCAAGCGGGGATCTCCAGCTCTCTGCAGCATCCATCGCATACCATTTGCTTTAGCCCAAACAGGAGCCCTTCTAGTCCCCAAGACCCACTTACTGCTTCTAATTCCAGGTGGAGGATGTTCCATGTTGGGATTTTAAAGGAAAAATGAATCATCTGTATTTGACATGACAAGGGGCACAGGAAAAGGCTTGCTGCAGTTCTTTTTGTAAAAACAAATGAATAAATACCTTCTTGAAAACTTAATTTTATTAGAGAATCTTGACCAAGTGTGGAAATTTTAAAATCATTCTATTTGCCAGAACTGGCTAACAATAAGTTTAGTAGGAGAAAAAAATAAATAAACAAACAAAATAAAACCAACAATGATGAGTAAATACCTCCACAGTCTTCATTCTGCAACAGCTGTTTAAGACCCACGTTGATGGACTTTGAAGGCAAGTCCCTTTGCTTAATAATAATTAAAAAATAATTCTCACAGGCAGTCCACTGTCCACACTCATAAATACAAGTATAAAAGTCGGGAGGCTTGTATAAGGAATATACAGAACACATCAGGAAACAAAGTCTGAGTAAAAACTTTATTCCAACAACATTTCTCTATTTCAAAATCATGTTTATTGTTTTAAGTTTGTATCACAGTGGAGATTAGCTCAGGCTTAATCATCCAGTCAGTGCCTCTAGTTCACTTCATCCAATTCCAAAATAAAGTAAAATCAACTCATCCATACACTCTAATTCCAGTTACCCTCCCACCATTCATTGCCTGTGGCTTTTGCTTCCCTTGTAATGGCAATGGCGTGAGAAGATTGTGAAAAGGTATAACCAAGAGGCTTCTGTGAGAAATACCATTTCTTCAAGTATTCAGAGAGCAGCACGCTGCCTGCCCTGCACATTGGAAAACGACGCATGACATTACACCTAAGGCTGCACGCGGCTCCTGGCGGGAGTGTCCTGAAAATGCACGTCATGGTGTATGATGAAGGATTTACAGCATTCTAGAATCTTCACAACTCTGCCCAGGTTAGTGAATGCCATGAGGGAAGTGTCCATTTCCTACGCTCTGCTGTCAGACACGGAATTTCCAAAGGACGAATAAATAAAGCGCACACTCAACCCGTGTAGTGCAAATGCTCGGTAAACAGAATGACATGGAATAAACTCAGGGGTTGCCAACGTGGGAACGGTGCGGCTGTCAGGCCCTGATTTTGCACCCCGACCCTCTGATGAAGACTATCGCTGTCCCAGATCAGCCATCGAGGCTAGAAAGGGCTCCTGAAGTGGGCGGAGATGGGCAGGGAGAAGGGAAGGAACCCCGAAACTCACTTTCACACTCAAGTCATGCCACCTGTACATTACTTTAGTAGCATGTGGCAAGTGTGATTGGATCCTGAGGTCGAAAACCTCGCAGACAAGGGGCTAGTAGGAAGAACTGCAAATGACCCATTCCAAAGAATTACGAGTTGGCACCTCTGTAACACAGATTAGTGTGACCCAGAGAACAAAAATGGAGGAAGATTTTTTTGTTTGTTTGTTTGTTTTTAAATTTCTAACTTTGGACAAAGTAAGATACTTAAAAATGGCAGCATAGGAATGTTAACCAAATGGCTACTAAAAGAAAAATTGTCTTTGAATAAGGGCCCGGTTTAAAAATACCAATTCAGCACTAATCATCAGTATTTTGAAGGAAAGTTCAGTTATCCATTTAACATAATGTGACTCATTAGGATGAAATAGATGACATTACAAAATTCTTCCAGAGGTAAATAATAATGGGGGGAGGGGACACAAGTTCAATGTGACAACCACTTCATACATTGCCTTAATTACATAGCCTTCATCCTCCCCCCCAAAGTATCCAGTCTATAAGAAAAGGAAAAGACACAAAAATTTAAAATTGAAAACAGGAGCAAAACAAAACAGGTGCCACTCATTCTTGCATTCTCCTTCTCTGCATTCAGCTTTAGAGGCAAGGTGTGGGAAATGTTCTGAGTTCACACAGATTAAATTCTAGAAGAGATAGAGTTGGACATGGAGCCTAACTAGCTTCCTCTCAGTCATTCTTGAACGGGCTGTACCTTCAACAATGGAACAAAGCAGCCAGCTAAAAGTAGTTAGGAAAGACACACACACACACACACACACACACACACACACATACTCACATATAAACATTCACACTCACATTTACACATGCACTCAGACACTCTTTAACGAGAAATCATTCCTCATCTGGGACACACATAGAGCGAGTTCTCAAACTACGGTCTGACATGGTCACTTAATTTAAATAATTAAGGCTTCTAAAAGGTTCAGTGCCCAAACTTTCTGCATCAGTATTCAAATAAAATGCAGGTTTGCATGTTTAAATTTGTGCTTTGTACGGCCATCTTAATTCCACAGAATTCCATGAGTGCGGTCTTAGGAGGGAGTGTTAGAATGATTTACTGACGTCTGACTTTTAGTAGTTGTTAGACTAAATTAGAGCGACAAAACTTCAGTGACTGAACAGGTGTGTTACTCCCCGGGGAAGCTACCCTCATTTCACCTTCTTTTCATGTTTAATGTGGCCATTTCTTTTGTACTTGCCATTGAGGATCCCATTATGGTAATGTCCATTTACGGTGCTTTGCTTCTTACCAGACCACAGACTCTTGACTTTCCTGAAGATACATTTTGTCACCCAGGACAAGAGGAAGTAAAACAAAGCAGCACCCAGCAAAAGCACCAAGGCAATGTCCAGTAAAAAATACTGACAGAAAGAAATCTGATGGACAGCGGCACGCAAGTGACGGGCCCCGTTATGGCGGAGAATGTAATCGATCCAGTAGACGGTGCGGTTGACCGGGTGGCCAGGCTGGTCCTTGTGGATCTCAGATAGCTTCTGGGCTCTCTGACGGTAGCTAGAGCATGGAGGGGAAAAATACGGAAGGATCATACAGATGCGGGTTCAGTGCCAGGACGCTGTTGATTTTCAAATGGGGAAAGGGTCAGGGATGTGGCTTGGCAAGAAAACACGCCTTGCATATGTCATAAGGCCTAGGGTTGCACCCCCTCAGTCCCCCCCATTCTTACCCCTCCCCATAGGGCAACAAACAAAAAATAAAGCAAAACAAATAAATATAAGGGAAATAATCGTGCAACTATCCTTTCTCAAGGAGCTAGTACATGCGAGGTGCTTGTACTGAGATCTTTGAACACACCAGACCAGGTTAATAATACACACAAAAATGGACATTGAAGCCAGTAAGAAAAGCAGAAGCCAGAGAGTTTATATAACGTGATGGGTTTCACAAAGTTGGGATTCACAGAGTTGGAGTTTCTCCAGCTCCAAACCCTGCCCTTGGCCTATGTTCTACCACAGCGCCTCAGCTCAAGGAATTCTTCTAACCCTGTGCACGGGAGCACTGTTCACAGAGGCTCTGCCAAGAAATCTGGGTGAGTTTATGAGATGGGGGTGTCTTCAGAGGTTACATGTGTGAGGTCCTGGTCCATTCTGGGCACCCAAAAGAAAAATCTTGGGGCTGGAGCAATAGCACAGTGGGGAGGGCATTTTCCTTGCATGCGGCCAACCTGGGTTCAATTTCCTGCATCCCATATGGTCCCCTGAGCACCACCAGGAGTAATTTCTGAGTGCAGGAGCTAGGAGTAACCTCTGTGCATCGCTGGGTGGGACCCAAAAAGTGAGAAAAGAAGAGAAAGAAGAATTCCGGTGGGCAGAGAATGGCCATGAGGTCCCTGGCCCCCAGAATACTACCTGAGGGGTCCCAAATAATAATGGTGATAATAATCATCATCATAATGATGATGATGATGCTTCTCTAAGCAAACGGGCTACTTAGCTTAAATTGAAATCTCTCAGACCTCATATTATGAATCGAATCGGCCTTTTCAATCATGATTGTAAGTGAGCAATGGGACCTCCGAAGCAATGGAAAATAAACATTCCCCATTTAGCAAAGAGCATCATCTTTTCTGCACGGACACATCTTCCCAGGATGAAGGGGAGGTGCTTCAGCTTCTCAATGCTTAGGGGTGATCCAATCCGTATTATTTCCCACACACACTTAGTAGACCAAGAGCAATTCAGCTAGGACACAAAATAAAACCATTTGGAAAGGAAGCGCTTCTGTGCACTGGCTCACAAAGTGGGGGCATCACTGCTATACCTCTGACCCTGCCAGTCCTGCTCTGCAGAACCAAGGCCAGACCAACAACAGATGAGGAAAACTTGGGAAAAATTGAGTCAAACCAAACAAACCCAGGACTGGAGCAACAGCACAGCAGGTAGGGTGTTTGCCTTGCACGCGGCCGACCCAGGTTCGATTCCCAGCATCCTATATGGTCCCCCAAGCACCGTCAGGAGTAATTCCTGAGTGCAAAGCCAGGAGTAACTCCTGAGCTTCGCCGGGTATGACCCAAAAAGCAAAAAAACAAAACAAAACAAAACAAAAAAACCAAGAATTCTGCAATAACCCACCCCTGACTCCAGGCCCAATATTGCATTTTACAAAGCTTCTTTCAAAAGCAAATCTGCAGCCTATCCCTTGCCATAGGCACATCAAATGTTGGAAAACATGAGTCATCTTAGGATGAGCTCCAGAGCAAAGGCAACGGGACCCCAGGTGGAGGCATCAGAGCTCACAGAATCAAAGGCTGCAGGTGATCAGAACTGGGTCAGAGCTTGGAGGTGGTGGCTGGGCCCCTTGGGGATAGATGGGCATCCCAGCGCACTTGTATTCTGCCTTCTCAGAAAGCATCACTTGACATGCAAGAATGTTTCTAGTCTATTAGTGCTCAGACTCTATACCAGAGTTACTCAAACCAGTGCTACCCTCCCTAGTCCCCCAGGATAAATAGGAAAAAATACATACCCTTTTTCCAACCTTGAAAGTCTTTTTATTACGTTTGCCTTGCACGCAGCCAACATGGCCGACCCGAGTTTGATTCCTCCACCCCTCTCGGAGAGCCCGGCAAGCTACCGAGAGTATCTCGCCCGCACGGCAGAGCCTGGCAAGCTCCCCGTGACGTATTCGATATGCCAAACACAGTAACAACAAAATCTCCAATGGAAACGTTACTGGGCCCGCTTGAGCAAATCGATGATAAACGGGAGGGCCTTTACTTTTACTTAAAAAATTTTAATAGTGAGACATCATGAGGTACAGTTGCAGACTTACGCATTTTTGTGCTTGGGTTTCAACCATATAATGATCAAATACCAACCCTCCACCAGTGCCCACTTCCCATCACCATGCATCCCAGTATCCCTCCCACCCCCCATCCCCCCTATCCCACCCTGACTCTGTGGCAGGGCATTCCCCTCTGTTCTCTCTCTCCCTTTGAGTGCTGTGGTTTGCAAAAGAAGCATTGGGTGGCAATCATGTTTGGTCTATAGTCTACTTTCAGCATGCTTCTCCCATCCTGGGAGGGTCCTCCCAACACCTTTATTTGGTGTTCCCCTCTTTATCTGAACTCCCTTTTCCCCTAGTATGTGTGGTTGGCCTACAAGTCACGGAGTAAAATTTCTGGTACTAATCTCAGCCATTCTTGGGTGTTAGTCTCCTATCTTGTTACTTTATGTTCCCCAGATGAATGCAATCTTTCTGTGTCTATCACTCTTTCTGACTCATTTCACTTAACATGATATTTTCCATGTAGTACCACTTGTATGTGAATTTCGTGACTTCGTCTTTTCTAACAGCTACATAGTACTCCATTGTGTAAATGTACCAAAGTAACCAACCTTGAAAGTCTTTTGAATGCAAGATTAATTAAATGGCATGAAATCAAGGAGGAAAATAGCAACTGTGATTTTAAAATGTCATAAATGCCATAAGCCTTGGGCCAGAGAGATATTACCAGGATTCAGGTGCATGCTTTGCATGCAGCTGACCATAGCTTGGTCCCCAATCAGCATTGAGTACAGCCACCAGATGTGGTCCAAAACAAAAGAGAAAAAAATAAAAAAATTTAAAAACTTCTCAGACCAACTCTCCACTCTCTGAGACTCGGCTGTGAAGGGGATCACCCAAGACACACCAGGAGTGTGAAGAACAAAATCCAAATCAAGATTCAGATTGGTCATAAAGAGAGGGATAGACATAGAAAGACTGCATTCATCTGGGGGATATAAAGTAACAAAATAGGAGATTAATACCCAAGAATAGCTGAGATCAGCACCAGGAGATTACTCCATAGCTTAGAGGCCAGCCGGGCATTCTAGGGAAAAGGGCAGCTCAGATAGAGAAGGGAGCACCAAATAAAGGGTGTTTGGAGGATCCTCCCAGGATGGGAGATGCATGTTGAAAGTAGACTATGGACCGAACATGATTGCCACTCAATGCCTCTTTCGCAGACCACAACATCCAAAAGGAGAGAAAGAACACAAGGGATTGCCCTGCCACAGAGGCAGGGGGGGATGGGGGGATGGGGGTGGGAGGGATATTATCCATGATGGTGGAAAATGGGCACTGGTGGAGGGATGGGTATTTGATCATTGTATAACCGAAACCCAAGCACAAAAATTTGTAAATCTACAACTGTACTTCATGGTGTTTCACTAATTAAAAAAAAAAAGATTCAGACTGGTCACCTGCCTGATCAATCTCAGAGCATCAATCTCAGAGCATCCTGTCAGCACTGAGAACCCAGAGACAGGTGAGAAAAAGGGCACAGGCATTGCTGGCTCTGATGGCTGTGAAGTAAGTCACTCTGGGCAACTTACTGAAGCACTGGGTTCAGTGACTTATCTCTACAATATAGACAGTATATCTATAACCGAGATAGTATTCCCATACCCTGGGTAGTATGACTAAAGTAAATATAAATATGAGATAAAGGACATAAAATCTGATGACACAAGGTAGGCACCTAATGCTATTCCCATGGCAATTTCTCCCTCCATTTGGCAAATCCTAGTAGAATACTATTATTCCACAAGGATTGTTTTTGTAAGAAAAAAAATCCATGGAAGAGGGCAGAGATAGTACAGCAGGCAGAGCACTTGCCTTTCATGCATCTGACCCAGATTCAATCTGCCGGCACCCCAGAGGGTCCCCTGAGCCCTGCCAGGAGTGATTCCTGAGTGCAGAGCCAGGAGCAAGGCCTGAGCATGGCCTGATGTGTCCTCCAAAAAAGAAAATCAAAACATATTCATATTAGAGAAGACACAGCCAAGTTTTGATACCCTGGGATGCAAAGAATATGTCTGCAACTGCGGTACTCCCGGCCTAGTGGTCGTTTCTGCCCACAGGCACTGCGCAGGGGTGTATGTCACCCCTCTGCTCTGACGGAACCAGAGCCTTACCTGGGGTTGTTGATAACATTCACCAGCGCTTCATAGAGCTCGCCCTCAGTGACCGTCTTCCACTCCAGCAAGATCCCCATGCCCTTGGCCTGCACCCGCGTCATGGTGTCATAGTGGTCTCCGAAGAGCGGGATGCCCACCACGGGCACACCATGGTACATGGTTTCAAAGATACTGTTCAGACCCCCGTGGCTCAGGAAGGCCTTAATATTCGAGTGCCCTAAAGAAGAATTGGGAAAAAACGAGAGAGAGAGACAGAAAGAGAGACAGAGAGAGAGAGTTTACAATATTTTTTTTATAAAATAAGCATGACTCCAAAAGAGATTTTTCCAGAAATTTCTTAAAAATAAATACAGGAGGGGTAGGACGTTTGACTTACACATGGCTGACCCAGGATCAATTCCCAGCATCCAATATGATCCCCCAAGCACTGCCAGGAGTAGTTCCTGAGTGCAGACCAGGATTAACCCCTGTGCATCAGTGGATGTGACCCAAAAAGCGAAAAAATAAAAATAAATAAATACAGGACCAGTGAGATAACATGGGATAAGGCACTTACCTTGCGTCCTGGCAACCCTGATCTATAATACCTGGATCTGCTTAAGATCCCCCAAGCACCACTGGGGTCCCATGTGAGCACAGAGCCTGGATGATTGCCTGGTGCATCTCCCAAAATAAAAATAACAACAACAACCACAAAACAAGCAGCTAGCAGGAGGCTGGGGAGATGGTGCAGGGGTAAAGGGGCACTGCATGTGGCCAACACAGGTCCAGTCCTGGTATCACGTGGGGAGAGACCCCCAAGCACAGAGCCAGCCCCTAAGCACTTCCAGGTGAGACCCAACAACTCCAGACTCCCTAGACACTACAGCAGTAGAATCTCTCTTTTCTCTACTGATTAAATTGCTTGTTACAGACATAGCATCTTATTTGTAGATGGTCAACTAAAAGCCATATTTAAGTTGCTCAAATTTAAGGAGGATGTTCCAGTTTTCTCCCTAACACAACGTGTCCACTGACTGATAATGTCTATTTAAATCGCCAGTAATAGGCAGAGAGTCAGTAAAAGCAAGAAAGATCCCAAAACAACACAGTACAACCAATTCTACTAAAGTCAGGTGCCCGCTCTCAGGCACTTGTGTGTTTTTAAAGTCAAACACTCGGGGTCAAAGAGAGAAAATCAGTGTGAAGGCACCTGCCTTGCAGACAACCCACCCCGGCTCAACACTCAGCACCATAAGGGCCCCTGAGCACAGGCCTGGGCATAACCCCAAAGCACCCATAGTGTGACATGCACCACTGATCCCATGCCAACAACAGACAAACACTCCTTTGTAAAAACATATATACAGACAAGGAGCTCATTCCAGAATCCCATGAGGATTTAAGATGCTTATCCATGGGCTAGAGTGCTGCAACGGATGGCACAGCAGGAGGGCACTTGCCAGGCACATGGTCAACCCCCTTTCGATCCCCAGCTTCCCATAGAGTCCCCCGAGCACCACCAGGAGTAATTCCTGAGTGCAGGGTCAGGAGTAGTTCATGAGTATTTCTGAGTATAACCAAAAACAAAACACAAAAGATGTTTATCCAAGGTATTTCCCTCATGGGCTGGAGCGATAGCATAGTGGTAGGGCATTTGCCATTGCGTGCAGCCAGCCCGGCTGAGCTGGGTTCGATTCCTCCGCCCCTCTTGGAGAGCCCGGCAAGCTACCGAGAGTATCTCACCCGCACGGCAGAGCCTGGCAAGCTCCCCGTGACGTATTCGATGTGCCAAACACAGTAACAACAAGTCTCAAAATGGAGACGTTAATGGGCCCACTCGAGCAAATCGATGAACAATGGGAGGACAGTGCTACGGTGCATTTCCCTCATAACAGCATCTCTACATCACACATAGGACCCAATTTTACATTACTGGAAGATGAAAAGAAGGTGGGAAACACTCTGAAAATGAGGCATAAGGGGAGAGCACAGCATCCAGCTGTCGTGGAAAATAAAAGTCAATTTAAGCAAAATAGATAATTTAGGCGCCGCAAAACCCAGCTCCCTAGAGCAGCCTCTGCCTGATCCAAGGGCTAGCAAGACTTGCATATGTCTGAGACAAAGAAATGTCATACACTGGAAACACAGCGCCTGGCCTCAAAGGACCAGTCACAAGTCTGACACACACAGTGACCACAGCACGTGATACAGAAGGAACAGGCAGCCTCTCACCCCACCCTCAGCAGCACCCACTCAGCTCAACGGCCAACGGAGGGCTCGGCCCCGGCCTGCACAGCACACTTGGCTCTTAGCCGCTGAAATCAGGAATCTGAACAAAATCTGCCTCTCGGGCCCAACTTGGGTGGAAAACGCAGCCGGGGCAGGGGATACATGGACAGGAGGGGATGCAATGACACTGGCTTGGCTCTTTCTTATCATCCCACAGGAGGCTTGGAGCCAGAGAGACGGAGGGAGGTCGGGCAGAGGTCAGTGGGACCCTGAGGTTGACAAGACAGGATGGCCAGGAGTGAGGAGCCCAGGGCAGCCAAACCTGAAGAGCCCAGGGTCCCCACTCTGAGCCAGCGTACTGTTCACGTGGTCCCAGACGTCTGCCAGGTGCACACCAAGACAGTGAGAGTTAAGAAACCCAACTGGAATGTCCACTCCCCGTCACATCCCTCCAGAAAAGCTCAAGCGCTGAGAAGAGAAATGTAGCAAGGAGAAAACTGAGAGCATCAAGAAATTTATGCTTCTTTAATTTTTTTTTCGGAGAGCCCGGCAAGCTACCGAGAGTATTCGATATGCCAGACACAGTAACAACAAAGTCTCCAATGGAGACGTTACTGGGCCCGCTCGAGCAAATTGATGATCAACGGGAGGGCCTTTACTTTTACTTTACTTAATTTTTTTTAACCATTTAAAGAATAATCACCATGAACCAGATGAAAAGGAATTTAATGGGATCAGGGAGATGGATGGAGGAAGGGAGCTCTCCTTGCACGCAGCTGACCTGGGTTCAATCCCCGGCATACCATATGGTCCCTCAGCACTGTCAGGAGTGATCCTGAGCACCCCCAGGTGTGGCCCAAAAACAAAACAAAAAAGGAATTTTACACACACACACACACACACACACACACACACACACACACACGTAAAGATAGTTCATTACTGCTTTTAGTTACAAAATTCAACTTTCAAGTTTTCAGAGGGTCATTTTTGGGTCTAAAATATCTTTTAAAGCCTACTTTTAGGAATCACCATCACTGTCCTCCTGTTGTTCATCGAGTTGCTGGAGCAGGCCCAGTAACGTCTCCATTGTGACAATTGCTACTGTGTTTGGCATATCGAATATGTCGCGGGGAGCTTGCCAGGTTTTGCCGTGCGGACGAGATACTCTCGTTAGCTTGCCAGGCTCTCCGAGAGGGGCAAAGGAATTGAACTCGGGTCAGCCATGTTGGCTGCTTGCAAGGCAAATGCCCTACCCACTGTGCTATCACTTCAGTCCATTTTTAGGAATAGAATTCAAAATTTAAAACCACTTTTACATCATCAGATTTTTGTATTTTGTGCTGTATATTTTTTTTTGCTTGTTTTGGGGTCACACATGGCACTAGCTCTGTTCTCAGGGATCAGGTAGTGCTCAGGGGACCATATGGGGTGCTAGGGACTAAAGTCAGGTTACACTCATGCAATACAAGCACCCTGCCCACTGAGCTATCACTCTGGTTCCCGAGAGTTTAGTATTACTGAACAAATGATAGTCTATATTGCCAATGTCAATCACTGTCATTGTCACTGTCCTCCCATTGTTCATCGATTTGCTCGAGCGAACCAAGTAACGTCTCCGTTTTGGGGACTTGTTGTTACTGTGTTTGGCATATTGAATACGTCACGGGTAGCTTGTCAGGCTTTGCCGTGCGGGCGAGATCCTCTTGGTAGCTTGCCGGGCTCTCCGAGAGATGCAGAGGAATCGAACCCGGCTTGGCCAGGCTGGCTGCGCACAAGGCAAATGCCCTACAGCTGTGCTATGGCTCCAATATTAATTTATAATTCTGTTTAAAAATTATATTTTAAAGGATGATATGACAGTTTCCCCAGAAATTTAATGAATAAAACAATGTACATTTTACCACCTAAAAATAAAATTAAATTATTTAGATTTAAATACACTTAATATATATGTAACACATTTAAGCGTTAATTCGATTATCAGGATTAAGAAATGTATGCTCAAAAGGCACAAATCTTTTGCAAATTCCCTAATGGCTTAGGGGGAACTTCAAATATAGTTAAAATATGATGAATATTTCCTTGGCTTTTACTTTTCTCTGACTTCAAATAAATGAATACCTTTGCATTTGCCTAGGTGCTCAGACACACACCTAATAAAAATTTAATCACAAGCTTACATTTGAATCTCACACTTGGATCTGATTAGCCTAAATAGGAATAGCTTGTTCGCTGCTAATGTACATAATTTATTAAACATGTTTTCCAGAAAATTGAAGTCAGTGACTGGCCTAAGACTTCTTTAATTTTAGGCTCCACTATTAAACTTTACAAATTATTTTCTAACGCTCGTTCATCTGGCATCTACACAGCGTAATGACTGTCTCATAAATTTCACAAGTACCAGCAACTCCATAAAACGCAGGTCCAATTAAAACCCCAAAGCAGCCCTGTACCCACGCCCCACTCACTCACCCAGGAGGTCATTTTGCGGTAGCCATTCAATGAGCTTTGTGTTGTTTCCGAGGTTCTTTGGTTTGGTTCCAGAATACCTAAAATAAACACCAGGGAAACATTGAAACGTCATACTTCCGGTGGGCATGCGTTCTTGGGCTGAGTCATCATGGTTAAAATAAAGGCAACATGATCCTTAAGAATGAAACTAGGCTTAAGGAACAGCGGAATCTGATGGATTTCTTTTTCACTTTGAAATACTTTGATCATACTGAGGCCTGAGCCACCAAGTACCCTGATACTAGAAATCACTCCACCCTGGCCCTGGAAGAGAAGCAGGCTGTGCCACAGAGGGTCCTAGGACACATCCTGAGCTTCAATCCGACACCTGACAGAGCTGGCGGTGGGCAGGGCTACTCAAAACACCCCAAAGGGCTCTTCTCTACTTGGCCCCAGAAATTAGAGCTGTGTAGGGTCAAGGATATTATTCATCTATTTCCTGTCTTGAGCTTTGAAAGGAAATATCATAAAGTGACTATAGACCAAACATGAAGGCCACTCAATGCCTCTTTTGCAAATCACAGCACCCAAAAAGAGAGAGAGAACAAAAGGGAATGCCCTGCCACAGGGGTGGGGTGGGATGGGGGATGGGGAAGTGGAAGGGATGCTGGGAGCATTGGAGGTGGGGAATGGGCACAGGTGGAGGGATGGGTACTCTATCATTGTATAACTGAAACCCAAGCACAAAAATTTGTAAGTCTACAACTGTACCTCATGGTGTTTCACTAATAAAAATTTTGTTTTAAAAAGTGCTTAAGGGAGCAAGAATTTGAATCGACTTTCCAAAAAGTCTGAAACAAGGTATTAATGGGCTTTCTGGGATCAAAACTAGCAGGGAGAAACCAGTAAGACTGGTATCTGCAGAGAACCAGTTACGAGTCTTTGACACACACAGAACGACAGAAATAAAACGTGAATCTGTTTTCACAGCCCATCCAGGAGAAGCGAAGCTATATTTTTTACACGATTGTTAGAAAGGCAAAACACCTATTACTCGGGGCCTCGAGAGATGGTTTCCTCTAACTAGGGCAGAATGATAAGGAGACGGTTCTCTGCCCTGTTCCTAGCACCCGAGAGTGGTGGGCCCTTTGTTAAATAGATATACAATAAATAAAATGCTTGGGTTTGTTGTCACACATCGGGCTAAGAGCCCTGAGGGACACAGGGTCATTTTTTAGTCTACTTCAACCTGCACAAACTAGTCAGGCTTTACCCAACAGCTTTGGTCCATTGAGTAAAGCCAAAGCATCTATAAAGAAGACATAGACTCTAAAAGGGTCTGGGAAACAGTTTTCATCCCATCCATCAATTTCTATTTCTTCCCAAACTGATTTAAGGAGGGGCCCAAAGAGGATACAGTGGGTGAGGCAATTTGTTTTGCGCACAGCTGGCTCAGATTTGATCCTTGGTACCCCTTAGTTCTTCCGGGGGCGATCCTTGAGCCAAGAGAGCCAGAAGTGAGCCCTGAGCACACTCAGGTGTAGCCCCAAAATAAAACCAAAAAAAAAAAAGAGTGTATAGAACTGCATGGAGTCACACAAAAATTGTTTTACAGGGATGATAACTGAGTGAATAAGGGAAATCTAATGCTTTGGACACAGGCAAAGTCATTCTGCATCATATCTTCTTCATATAGTGTAGACATTATGATTACATGTCTCTTTATCCTTCACAGAACCTCGTAAATGAGTCCCTAGTCTTTGATACCAATAGAAAAAGTCAGGGTCCCCTGGAAATCTTACAAGGATCCAACGGGCTTTACCAAGACATGCAGGTTGAGCCAGGGGACCCCCAAAATGAACAGCATAGAAACAATCTCTCTCAAGGTCTCACCTCCAGATCACCTTCTGCGGCAACCTGCCCAGCGCTCCTGCCAGTTTGACAGCGATGTCTTCTGACAGATACTTGACTCCAGCTCCAAAGGACACCAGGACAAAGCCGTGTTCGTTAGCACCATTGACCCACCTTTCGAGATCCTGTGAATCAACAGAGAGGTCAGGAATATCCACATCACAGAAAACACTCCCCAGACCCAACAGCATCCATCAAGAACTGGGCAGAAGAGCAAAAAAGACACTTTACCCCCGAAGACACAGCCAACTGGCAATGAGACAATGTTCATCATCACTGAGTCGCAGAGTTCAAAGCCAAAGCCAAACGAGACACCCCCTCATACAGGGAGAACGCCTCTATCAGGAAGCCTGAAACAACCGGGGTTTGCAGGGATGTGAAGAAGACAGGAATGCTGGAGGGCCCCAGAGTAGGGCAGGTGAGACCCCTCCCCACCCAAGGGGACCCAGCCCCGGCAACCAAAAATTTCCAGAACTCAACCACCACCTCCATCATATTCATGACCGCTCTCCATACAGTCGGGCCGAGCCTCACTCAGTAAACCTGTTCTTGGACACTTCATACCAAACAACCTACCCATACTCCAAAAGTACTGCGCCACATTTGATGGGGTTTAAAGGAAGAAGCAACCAATCTTAGAGGGAAATTACATATATAAAAGCACACAAGGCTCAACCTTTAACAACATGTTAGTGAAGCATCTTTTGGAACAAATCTTTTATGCAGCACATGGAGACTCGGCTTCCGGGATGAACACAGGTCGCAGCACTCTGGGCAAGACAGAATTTGAATGCAACAAATACCCTGCCCACTCTCCGTATCTCCACCTTAAGACTACGCTGGACCGTGACAGGGGAACAGCCGCCACACAGCCCAGGCAGGAAGGGACACCGAGGGCTGTGCATTGGGCAACACTGTCCAATCAAAGCTTTCTCCAGCATGGCTGATGAATAGCATGACGGATACCTGTCTCAGGTGCCCATACTGTAAATATAGATAAATAAAATATATGAAATATATACAGGAGATAGCTCATGCTAGCACGTGCCTGATGGATTTCGACTCCTGGAACCACCTGGTCTGCCTCTGAGCACACCCGGGTGCAACCTTAGAGATCCCCAGAACCTCACGTGACACTTTTCTACTCTCACCTGCTATGCTTACCAAGGCTGTCACTGGGGCTGAGATGTTAACTGATGCTCTCTGAAGGGTTCAAAGGAAGAAACAAGAGCAAACTGATGAAACATTTTAATTTCATGTACGCTCCTAAGCCAGGCATGGATAAAATAAATGTGAACATTTCTCCTAAGATGATGTGAATATAGAGGAGGTTTTATCCCTAGGGTTTGTCCTCCAATAATTTATCACCTACCAGCCAATTCTCTAAAGATAAAACTCCTGGGTCAATGCCATTTACAAGAAGTTTAGTTTCAGCAATACTAAGCTTTATGGTAATAACATGATTTAAATTTTGTTTCCCAAGGACTTAAAAGGTCTTTGTGTTTCACTGTATTCTGGGCAACAAATTACTTCAGTTTTTTTTTTTCGGCGCCACCAGATACAAATGGAATCCATAAACCTGACTTTCCAGAGTTTTACCAACCGCAGACATTAACCATAACAAGACTATATATAACTATATGACTCTCATCGACATAGAAGGGAGTAGAGAAAATTATTATTGATTAATGGTCTCTTTCGGGAGAAGGATTCACTATTTTCATAACAGAACACTTGACTCGGAAAAGTGAGGCTGACAATCTCTCTCTCCAAAGAGGCAGAGGCAGAGCCAAACCCAGCTCCCTGGACTGGGGGAGGAAGAGGAAGCATGTGGTTGCCATGGAAACTGGCTGCTTCTAAACATACCCCCTTCCTCCTGGTCCCCAATCATCACCCGAAAGTTTCAAAATGTTTGATGTGATCCACTGAAGTTCTTTCTCTGAGGTACTTCGGGGCTACTCCTGGCTCAGTGCTCAGGGATCACTCTTGATGTGGTCCAGGAACCAAATGTGGCGTCAGAGATCAAACAGGGGTTGGCTGGCTGCATGTAACCCCTGTTCTTCCTTTCCAGCCTGACTGATGGACGTTCTATGCAACACAGACAGGTTAGTCTTGGGATTGGCTGACATGGTGATATTCAGGTTGGCAGGAAGAGACACAAGAACCAGAGGTTGAAGGGATCCTGAATTTGCTAAATTGTGTGGTGAAGTCTGGAACTGGAGCTTTTGAAAAAGGATATCTAGATCTCCAAAGCACAGGGCAGCCTGGGGTAAGACCTACTATCTCTATATTCCTATGCAGTATCTTCTGGAATTGAAGATCCCAACAATTCTACATACAAATTAAGCATACAACTGTATCTTAAAATCTCATAATAGTGATTTTTTTAAAAGATTCCCGTTCCCCAAAGTTAACACTTTAAAAAAAAGGGGGGGCGAGGTAGAATTCCCCTGCTCTATTCAAATATGAATTTAAAAATTGAACTCAAAAACAAAAGCCTCCTGTATCATACCAACAAAAACCATAAAATCAAGTAAACCTAACAAAATACATAATACATGCATGAAGAAAACGACTGAAGGACAAAAGGAAAAAATGAGTAAGTGGAGAGTGGGAACAACTGCCCTCATAATCAACATGATCTACATTTATGAAGAGCTACTTTTTAAAATAAAATCAGGCTCAAAGCATTTCCCGCTGATTTCAGGTTTATCAGCAGGGAACTGGAAAAGTCAGTCGAATCCGAAATTCAACTAGAAAAGAAATGGACAAGACAGCCCTAGAACATTTAAACATAAAAGGAGTTTATCTTCTAGACATTAGAATGTACTCTAGGGGCCAGCGTGACTGTACAATGGGAAGGGCATTTGCTTTGCTTGTGGCTCACCCGGGTTCAATTCCAACCATCCCACATGGTCCTCTAGCACGAACAGAAATGATGCCTCAGTGCAGAGCCAGGAATAAGCCCTAAACTCCACCAGGCATGCCTCAAAAACCAAAATAATAATAACAACAATCATATTCATTTGGTTAGATTCCCATTAAAATAAATTACAGAAAGAGCTAAAAAGATAGAATGAAGACATATAAAGTGCTTGAAGAAAACTCCGATGCAGGACCAGTGCGCTAGTACAACAGGTAGGGTGCGTGCCTTTCATGCAACTGACTTGGGTTTGAGCTACAGCATCCCATATGGTCCCCTGAACCCCACAGGAGTGATTCCTGAGCACAGAGCCAGGAGTAAGTCCTGACCTCCACTGCGTGGACATCACCCTCACTCCCAACATACACAAAAAGAATACAGAAAGACAGAGGAAGGAAGGAAGGAAGGAAGGAAGGAAGGAAGGAAGGAAGGAAGGAAGGGAGGGAGGGAGGGAGGGAGGGAGGGAGGGAGGGAGGGAGGGAGGGAGGGAACCAAAATGGATTGTGTTCTTATATCTGGGTGAGGAAATCACTGCTCACAAATCGCTACAGTCCTAAGAAAGGAGTGAGAGTCCCCGGGCCTACAAAACAATAAAACTACTGAGCATGAAAGATCTGAAAGACCACAAAAGAACAATAAGCAGATGCAGAAGTATTTGCTATATACATAAGATTATGATAAGATATATAAGATATATCTATCTAAGATATCCATCTTTAGATATCTAATTTATTTTTATAGCACAGCGGTAGGGCGTTTGCCTTGCACGCAGCCAACATGGCCGACCCGAGTTCGATTCCTCTGTCCCTCTCGGAGAGCCCGGCAAGCTACCGAGAGTATCTCGCCCACACGGCAGAGCCTGGTAAGCTACCCGTGATGTATTCAATATGCCACACACAGTAACAACAAAGTCTCCAATGAAGACGTTCGAGCAAATCGATGAACAATGGGAGGACAGTGACAGTGACAGGGTCACCCCCAGAGATGCTCAGGGGTTCTTCCTGGCTCTGCACTCAGGGGTTACTCATGGCCATGCTCGAGGAACATACTGGGGTGCTGGGATCAAACACAAGTTGGCCACATACAAGGCAAATGACCTACCCGCTGTACTATCACTGTACTATGGCCCCTTATTTATCTTAAGATAAATATCTAAATCAAAGCAATTCAAGAAAAATAAAAGCATCTCAAGCATGAGAGGGAACGCCCCATTCCCAGGGGACCACCCATGTCAATATGGAGCTATGTTCCCCTTGGGTGCTGACCCAGGAAACAGAATTTGAACTGTTTCGCTTTAATCTCTCTGCAGTCTACAAGAGACAATTAATATCAGCTCATCACTAAATTCACTTCAACTTTGAAAATGCTGGATTCTGTTCTTTTTTTTTCTTTTTTCTTTTCTTTTTTTCTTTTTTTTTTTTTACATTCTAAGCATTAGTGTTCTGTGATTTGCCATCAACTTTTTTGTTTGCATATTCTGTTAGAAGGATAGAATGTGCTTCCCAAATTGTCTCTGGAGTTGTTGGTCTTCGGAACACCACTTACTGAATATTTCTTTTCATCTTCCTGGTTACTTGATATATGACCGTCTCCGCTAACTTAGGAGCTCTATTCTGTTTCTCTCATCTATCTGTTCCTGTGTCCGTTTTCAAGAGTTTTACTGTGATTTCATAACTTAGTTCACAATTTGCAGTGTTTAATGTCTCTCGTTCCTTTTGTAATGAGATTTTTTAAATTAAAAACCTCACTCTTGAGATTTTAAAAATTACTCCTGCCTTTAATACATTTTTAAGGACTCGACTGGCTTCCATACCCAAGCAGTCCTACTTCCTGTGCAAGATGCCTGGATCTGAACAGATCAATCTTCGCAGTGCACCCCAGGTTAAGTACCAGTTCCAGGGACGTCACTGGCCGGCACTGCACATGCTTTGCCACTAGGTGGCGCAGTGAGGCTGGAGTGGGCTCGGTGCTGAGCAGTTTCCCCTTCAAAGCATCCTTGCTGCAGGAATAACCCTACCATTCACAGCCTGCAAATGAAAGCAGAATTATCGTGATCTGGATCAACTACTGAGCGGAAACCAACAGACAGGGCTGCCCTTACCCTATTCCTATGAATAAGCCCATCCCTGTACAATGAAGTCCTTGAGACACTTCTACTTTTTTATAATAATAACAACTACCTAGATACAGATGAAAAGACAG